GGAGAGACACACACAAAGAAAAAGAACCGGCGATAAAGTCGTAGCAAGCCCGGCGTTTCGAATAGTTTAAATCGTTTATTTTTTTTTCTCTCAATCCTTTACTCTCGTTTGGTCGATTTGAGGATGGTTTGAGGTTTGACGATAGCGCTGTTTGAACAGGCGTTAATGACCGACTATGTTTACAGAGTTACGGGGGACGAACAATAAGTAAAGCAGACAAAGATTTTTCAATTTTCCCCATAAAAAATATACCTAATTCATTTCCACAGTATTATCCATGACCGCCGCCAGAACTTTTTCCAAGAGGGGCAAGAATGCAAAATTGTGAATTCTTTAAAACAAATTAAAGAAATATAGGGATTTATAGACGCTATCGCGTAATACGATATGATACGGAATATAATGAGCTTAAGCGTGGTTATCAAATGCTGCCGAATTTACCGTTTCAAGGGATTAGATACCGAAGATCCAGAGCGAAAAACATTTTAGTTATGAAGATATTGCCGTTTAAGTATTTTGTTTTTGTTTTTTTAATTACGAAATAAATGCTTTTGATGGTTTGCCTGCGTTAGTTTAGAGTACATATTGCTTTATACCGATTAAACGGATTGCTTTATTTTTTTCTAAATTGTGACGTGTACTGAAATAAAGACAATATGATATAAAATTATCAAAATTTCGCTCTATTAATTAATAAAGAGTTTCGAAAAAAATTGATCATTCCTCATATATCAATTAACAATACTTAGATACGAAATTTAACAAAATGTAGTATATTAACAGAAAGAGCACTAAAAACTGTTTGATGATACCTACCGGGTGTTCAAATTAAAGTATTACAGTTAAATACCGCCGAAAATATGCATTTTATAAAAAAGTTTTAGACAAAAGTTTTATAGTATTTTGGGGGAAACATTTTGGCTAAATTCATTTTTTTATAACTGACCATAATATGGCCATATCGAGGTGGACTTTTTTGTTTCAAATTGGAACCCCATTTTTTACATTTTCTTAAAGTTCATAAAAAAATAAGAACGTTTTAAAGGACTTCTACTTATTGTGTAACACCTACTTGAAATTTTTTCTGTGCGAAAAAAGTTTTTAACCAAAATATTTTCCCCAAAAAACTATGAAACTTTCATCTAAAACGTTTTTTATAAAAGGCTGCATTTAACTGTAACACTTTAATTTGAACACCCGGTATATAAAAGTAATTTTTTTTATTTTTGCCGTCTTATCTAGTATTGACTGTGAACACTCGATACAATCTATTATTATCAGTTAAGCTTATGCCCTAATAATTGTTTGACAGAAGTTGCTATTGTATAATTTTTTTGGGAACTTAGAAATTTCCGGGAGGGACCCTATTTGCCTTTCTCCCACCCTGTCGGCGGCCTTGGTATTATCGGCTTTGTTTATAGAAAAAAAAAATGGTTACCGTATTATTTAAATTGCAAAACAAATATTAAGATAATGTCAGTATATGAAGCCTATTGGCTTGTGTTTTACTCCATGTTAGTTAATATCATCCACTCTGTCACCTTTGTACCTTGTACAAGTTTGTACAGATCCTTGGGTGAGTGGGTTCTATACGTGGTTGGATCAACCTGAAGTTGTCCAAAAAGTGCCTATCTTTTACGATCTAGAGCTTCGCATTCGCACAGTATGTGTTTAGCTGTTTCTGGTTTCTTGTGACAGTCGGCACATGAGTTTCCCATTGTACATGCCAATTTTGTTCGAGTGTCCCTTTACTGGGGCGTGCCCGGTCATGAACCTTGTTATCTCTTTCAACTGGTTCCTATTCATAAAGAGTAGTTCTCCAGTTCTTTTGTGACATGGTCTGCCTATGAAAGCTTTTCCATGTGCCTGTTTTGGGGTGCTTCCCCAATAGTTAATATGTTGTTCTTGAATCCTCTCGTTTATGAAACCCCGGACTGTACTTTTTGGTACTCCTGGGTTTGTGTCTGATTCCGGTATTTCTTCTGACCCTCTTTTTGCAAGATCGTCAGCCTTTTCGTTGCCTTCGATCCCTTGGTGACCTGGCACCCAAAATAGTTTTACTCTGTTTTACGAGGTTACCGCTTTCCTTGTGGTTTTTCTAGATGCTGGTTCCAGGTAAGTCTCGAGTCAATCATAACTCCGAGATATTTTTCCTACCCCTTAAGCTGGATGCTTGCACCTCTTAGGTTTACAGGCTCTAGTCCCTCCAATTTCCTCCTGCAGGTGAATGCAATTATGTCAGATTTGTTTGGGCTAATGTTTAGTCCTTCCGCCTCTGTCCATTTTGTTACTATATTTAGAGCCTCTTGCATTCGATCTCTTACTATAGTGTTGTATTTTCCCTGTGCCATGATCACTATATCATCGGCATATCCCAGGGTTCTATGTCCCTTATCTTTGAGAGTCCTAAGCAACTCGTCCACTATAAGGTTCCACAGGAGTGGAGACAGCACTCCACCCTGCGGACATCCTCTCGCTACCCGTGCCGTTATTATCTCCCATAAGGGTTGTGTGTATAGTTCTCTCCCTAATATAGAGTCGATCCAGGACACGCACGTGTCCTCGATTCTTCTGTGTTTGAGAGATCTAATGATCGATTCAACGGAGGTATTGTCAAATGCACCCTCGATATCCAAGAATGTTTCCAGCATTATCTCCTTGTTTTCCAGTGTGTTCTCCACCCCTTTTATTAATTGATGGAGAGCTGTTTCAGTTGATTTCCCTGCACTATAGGCGTATTGGTCTTGGTATATTGGCTATGCCTATCCAGAAGTTTTTCCAAAGTCTTAAGTACAAAGGACATAAGACTTATTGGTCTTAGGGACTTTGCCGTTTCCTGTCCTATTTTCTCAAGTTTTACGAAGAGAGCTTCTATTTTGACGTAATTGGTGATTTCATATTGGTGATAGACTCTTTAATAATTTAAGGTTGCTTTTGATTACATTCACTTCAAATTTGTAGCACGGAAGTTTGTTATTTTGACGTCTGCGTAAAACCAGAGCAAACCATGGTTAGTCTGGTGTTTAACAATCACTAAGACGCGGATTGTCCGTCAATTCGCCTCACGGAAAAAAAATTGTAGAACAAATTTCTACAATTGTAGATTTTTTCTCTACAATAAATAGTACAAATAGGGACAGGGACAATTTGTAGTAAAAATTTCCAAATATTTGTAGAGAATGTATTGTAGAGTTATTATCTACAATATTTAGTAAAAATATCCAAATGCATCTTAAGAATTGTTCTACAAATTGTTCTAATTTTTGCTATTCATTTTATGAATTTATATTAAAAATGTATTGCGTTTTATGAAAATAAATACGAAAATTTTACACAATAAATAGTAAAAATTCATACAAATTGTAGTAATTTTTAATAAAACTTGTAGTAGTATTCTATAATTATTATAATTATAACCTAGAAAAAAATGTTCCTTAATAAAATAATCAATTTATTGTTTTAATATAAAAAATACAAAGTCTTAATTACATTATGTAATAAATAACAGTAATAATAGCACCCTCAGTCTCAGTTGGCTTTTCTGCACCTAAAAAATAAGAAATAAAAATTAATAACAATTGAACTGTTCATACCCTTAAAACGGGGATATTTATCACCTTTACACTGATTTGGATATTAAATGACTAAGTCAGATAACTAACAAAAATGAGAAAATAGGTATGTCACAATTAAGACACAAAAACAACATTGAACTTGGCACAACATTCGATCGTTAGGCACAACTATTTTTTTTTAAATAATCTACTAAGGTTATTTAAATTAGTTATCTAAAGGTAAATTATTCAGAAACAATAATAAATGTACTTACCACCAATAGAATTTATTATTAAAATTTTCTCAAACGCATCGGTGCTTATAATATAATAATGTGTTATAGGTACTCGTATATGTCCATGATTTGTTATGTGAACATGGCGAACGGCTACTGCTGTCTGGCCATTTATGATCGACGTCAGAAAACGTTGGCCAATAGCAGAATTCTGTTTTGTTCACATGACTTAGAATTTCTACAATATTATAGAATATTTTTGAACAAAATTGAATATTTTTCATAAGAAGGGATGTAAATTATTACTATTTTTTGTAGAGAAAATTACTATTTTTTGTAGAGATAATTATTAATATTTGTACAAATTTTTTCAGAAGTTAGTAGTAGTAATTACGATAATTGTAATAAATTTCTACTTTTACAAACAATAGTAAAATATACTAAACATTGTGGAATTCTTTCCTATTGTTGTAGCATTTTATTCGACAATTCAATTGCTACAATAATGAATAGTTTTTACCTATAAATTGTAGTAAAATTTTCTACAAATTGTTGAGTATTTTTCTACAAGTCTACTACTACAACATTGTAGTAAAATTTTCTAGTCACATTTTTTTCCGTGCTATCTTTGTAAATTTTGGTCGTTACGTTCATTTTTTTTTTAGTATGTATCTATTTTTTTTTTTTTAGCAATTACTCATTTTCTTCAATTCGCCATAAAATATTCTTGGATTTTGAACAAACTTCAAAAAAGGAGGAGGTTCTCAATTCGTTAGTATTTTTTTTTTATATGTTTAGCGATAATTCTGTAACACGGTATGCGATTTCGATGATTCTTTTTCTGTTAGTAAAGGGGTACCTCAGGAGTGGTCTTATATAAATTTGATCAAAATCTAATAATTGGTTCCACGAGAAAATCCTTAAATTCTTCATTTTTTATGTATGTTTAGCGATAATTATTTACCACCTTGTCCGATTTCTATGATTCTTTTTTGATAGTAAGGGGGTACTACAGGGGTGGTCTCATAAATTTTGTTAAGATATGGTGATGGCATCTGCACGATTTTGAAGTTGGTTTTTAAAATTACTTGTTTACTGTCGGCTCTTAGACTAAAAGTACCAAAACGGCTCCAACTACACTACTTCTGATCTTTTATTACTAGTACTAACCGAGAATGAATAATTAACCTTTGTTGCATTTCTATTTCAGACTGAGCTCTCCGGTATCAAATGGCGTAGGCTGGTATGGAGCGAGACGGACAGGAACGGCGGCGGCGGTGGAGGCGGCGGCGTCGGCCACCACGGCGGCGGGGGCGGTACCGAACCGCTCGAGGATCCGGTACTGAGGAGTTACGCGCGCTGCCTCGCCGCCGACATCTTGTGCGTATGGAGGCGAGTGTCGACGCCGCGTGCGGCCGACATGTTCGATCTGGGACCGCCGCCGCCCGCGCAACCGCCACCCTTGAGTTTGGCCGCCTCCAAGGAGCTGTGGATCTTCTGGTACGGCGAGGAACCGGATCTGAACGAACTGGTGGCGCCGGAATTGAACACTTCTGGTAAGTACTTAGTCGAGGATTTTGATTTTTCGTATAATTGTAATAATAATACATTGTAAATCCTATTCTAAACCTATTTCACTGTGAATAAACGGGCAACCTTCCAGAAGAAGGATCAGAAGTAGGGTTACCACCTTTTTGAAAAGTGGACAAAGGACTACGATGTTGGCAGGGGCTCTGGTACATAAAAAGTCCTCATCCTTCTACTAAAAAAAAAAGTTATTTTTGTCCAAACCATGTCCTTTCCAAAAATATGTGATGTAAAAAGGACATTTTAAGCTTTAAAAAGTCACAAGGACATTTTGCTTCAAAAAAGGACAGGTGGCAACCCTAATCAGAAGACAACTCCTTTTTAACCCTTTAAAAGGTGCTGGTACCTGGTACATTATGTTGTTTTATTCCTTTCAGTAATATATAGAAAAAATTAAGCAGCAAAAAAATCTTATTAAAAGTGTGTACTGCATTCACAAAATTAAAATGTAGCAAAAGAAAAAATGTTATCCACACCTTGTGTAGGGATAGATCCACTTTCTTTAACTTCATTTGAAAATTATATTTCCTAACATTATTCTTTATTATGACAAAAACTAAGTAAAATAAAATTCTAAGGATAATAAAAAGCCTGACAATAGTTTCTGTCTTTTATAGTCTATTTTTATGTATGAGAGAGTATTAAAATAATAAAGCGTTCGTAATCCATAGGCGTATCACTTCTTTTAGTAGACAGTTAAAATATTTGTTGAAGTTATTCCTCGAGTATACACTTATATTTTCACCTAATTAACCTGCTTATAACTTCTAAACAGCTGAAGGTAAAAAAGTGCAATTTTTTCTAAAATGTTTTATTTTTCCACAAGGTATGTTAAGAACATTGTGTCAAACGGGTTATGTAGGTATAAGGGTTTAAACTTTGACTTTTAAACAACGTTACGTTCATAAATAATAATTTAATATAAAAACTACTTCTTACCTACAAATCCAAATCAGAATCGAAATCAGAAGATGAACTGTCGCAACCAATATTTACAATAAGTGGCTCGATCATTTCATCAGTAATATTGTCCAACTTCCACATTTTCTCTTCTTCTTTAATCGTATGATTTACTGCCTTTTCCCAGTTTTCAGGCTTCACATTATTTACAGCCTCCAAAAACAACTGTTTAACATCACTCATTTTAAAAGAATTATTTTTTCTTGAAACTTCTCCCTTTATCTGTGCCCATATCAGTTTAATCGGGTTTACTTCGCAATGATATGGTGGTGATCTAACCACCGTCATCCCACGATTTTTTTGCAATTTCATCAATTTCATATTTTTTGAATTTCTCTTTAAGTCTCGAGTGATAACTTGCATTATCCATTACTATTATACAGTTCTGAAAAAGAAGATCTATAATTTGTTCGAACCACTCTTTAAAGACATCAGCATTCATGTCATCATGGTAGTCACCGGTACGAGTAGATTCAAAAGTCAATAAACCACCTTTAACAAAACCGTTTGAACTACCGTGTACTATTATTAGTCTGCGCCCCTTTCCTGATGGTGGATTTAAACCAGTAGATAAATTATTTAAAAAAGCCTGTCTTCGACTTGTAACAGTTTCATCTTGCCAAAATTTATTTGGTTTATGTCCCTCGTTGATCCATGTTTCATCTAAATAAAATATATTTCTTCTTTGGTTTCTCATTTCTTTTATAGTCCTTAGGTAATTTCTTCTCCATACTACAATATCGCTTCTTTCTATTAAAATAGACTTTCTGGAATGCTTTTTCCATAGAAAACCTATTTCTTTTAAAAGTTTCCATAGTGTGCTTCGACTCATTTCAGGGTAATCCTTATCATCTCGAACCGTGGCAAGAACTTTGTCTACTGTCGGAAATTCTTTTCTAAAGAAGAACGCATGCACTTTCCTTCGAAGTCTTTCTTTCAAAAGATTTTCTAATTGAAATTTTGGTTTTCCTGGAGCTTTACGTGCTGTTTGAAACTCGCCACATTTCTCTTCTTTAACAACTCTGTAAATCGTAGATTTACCAACACCAAGCGTACTACTAACTAATTCCACTGTGTCATCAACACTTTTACATAAATGTTTGTCTGTAAATGATTTAAAACAATTAAATATTAATGTTTTTTCATTAACTGTTAAAGGACCGATTTTTTGTCGTTTACGCGGCCCTTCCAAATTTTCCATGATCACACTAGAATCCACACTGCACCTTTCAAGTTGCAACTAAACGACATTTAGTAAACCGTCAAGAATACATAACTTGGACCTCCTTACTAAATGGAAAACCTATAATCGCATTTTCGGTGAAATTTGTTGGGAAGGTATTTAACTACTTATAATTCGATTACTGTAAGAAATTCTTGGAATTAAAATAAAACAAAATTGGCAAATAGGTACTTATTGAAAATAATCTTAAGATACGGCTATGTAATCTTTAATACACAGGGCTTTTGGCCTGTCCAAACCTTTTTCTATTATTCTGTACAGCTTATGTTTATAAAGGACCAATAAAAGACCCAAAACTTGTAATAGGTCAGGTACATTTATTACAATTTTAGGAAATATTTAGATTATTCTGTAAAAATATTAAAAATAGACTATAGGAAGCTTTAATTTATCTTTCGTCACTTTTTTAACCTCTGTTGCTATATCTCATTAGTTTCAATTTGTCTTTCTTTATTTTTTTTGTCACTGTCAACATCACTATTACTTTCTTGTGTTTTTCACATCTATAACTTTACAAAACCCATCATCAGACAAAATATCAATATCAAATCATCATTTCCCAACTATTTAGATAGAACACTTAAAAATTACATGACAAGTTCCTATAAATATTTTTCCTACGGCCCCCCTTTTCGGAGACATGGATACCTCTGAAAAATTTTGTTTTTGACTAATTTTTTAATATCATCCCTTTGATGTTGTAGATAATATTATTGACAACATCTTCAGAAACATCATTAAAATAAAAATCTTCAGTAATATTTTCTTAAAAATTTTTAAGTTTAAAATGTTTAAATCTATTTGTATAGCAGAGTTATTAATGTTTGAAGTAAAAAAATTGTTAATGGCATTAGCATCTTTTAGGTTTGGAGGTAAGTCAATTTTCTTTTTGTCTCGATATAACCATTTTTCCTTAATTAAGTTTGAAATTTAAAATTTAATTAAGCCCTTTTTTCTGCTTTTATAACTGTAGTTGTGTAGTTTCTTAATTGTTTATAGTAATCCCAATGCGTTGGAAGTTGTGTTTTGCAAAATGTTTGCTTCATCTCTAAGCCTTTTGCTCTGTTGTTTCCGAGATATGGCCGGTAGCCAGCTTTAATGAAAACACCCTGTATACCATACACTTTCGCCACTTTTACTCTTAATATTATTCTGTATGTTGTCGTCTATTGACATTCATTTAATTTTTAACCATAGAATATGAAAGCATTGTTTTTGTTGACTGCACTGAAACGAATTTAATCAAATTTTTTAAAACCTCACGTGTAAATTAAAGTATCCTTGACTTAATATCAATAACAACACGAGATATACTACTACGATAACAGTCATCTCAACGGCAAATAAATAATAGTCCCATTGAGTAACGGTGTTTCAGTATTGTTTGCGTATCATCGAAAAGAGTTCTGGGACTATGAATGCGGAATGACGAGCGGATTTCTGCTGGCGTAACGGAAAGAGGCCGAAAAGGGAGGTTTTGCGGCCATTTATCGATCAACGTGGCGGGCGAAACGGCGTTGGAAATGTGGCGGTGTGGCAATGGCACGGCCGAAGGGGTTTTGTTGAATCGAGAATCGATAAAAATGTAGTACCGATTGCCAGACGCGATAATAGATGTACAATGTGGTCCAATGAAAAGTATCCACCCTCTTTTTTTGGTTTGATCAGGTTTAAAAAGAAATGCTCGATTTCTGTTTGGAAGGGGACACATTTTTTTCCTAATTGCATCATTGACACTTCAACCCTCGGACAGTAGGGTGAACAACCCCTAAAATTTAGATAGGGAAAGTACTAAGTGTGGCACATTTTTGAAAAGGTAATTTTATAAGAAATTCAGTAATGCCAATATTGTTGCGTCAAATTCCGATATTTGCGCCCTCTTGAGGGTGAAAATTACGCTCCTAGAAGTATAAATGCTTGGACATTTTTGTTTGGAACAGGACACATTTTTTTCTAATTTCTGCATCGACGTTTCGACCCTCGAGTATGGGGCGAACAACCCTTAAAATTTAGATAAGGAAAGTACTAAGAGTGGCACATTTTATGGGAAATTACATTTCAATTTTGTTAGTTTTTTAGGTTTACCTATTTTCTAAAAAAAAATAACTGTAAAATTGATATTTTAAAGATTTATTAAAACGTTAATTTAAGAGGTGTTGAAAATGTGACTCATTTGCTTCCATACAATAATGCAAATTTTGTTAAAATCTATTGCAAACATTTTGTAGAATTTCAGGTGTTATTTTCCTGCACTTAGCTATTATCTGTTGGCGAAGATCTTCTATGGAATTAGGCTTCGTAGCAGAACATTTATTTTTCAAGTGTCCCCAAAGAAAATAGTTCAGAGGCGATAAATCCGGTGACCTTGCAGTGACCATTCAATTGGGCCTCTCCTTCCAATCCACTGTCCAGGGTACCGGTTATTTAAAAATTCTCTTACAGCATCAACATAGTGCGGAGGTGCTCCATCTTGCTGGGTCATTTTCTAATATTTCTGTTATAAGAGAGGTCAATTTCATCTTCAAGCATGTTTAGGTACACTTCCCCTTAAATTTCCAGGAATGAAAAGTGGTCCTACAATATGGTTATCTAATATGCCACGCCAGACATTTATTATTTCATGGTGTTGGGTTTGATACTCACGGAATAAATGTAGGTTACTGTTATCCCAGTAACGGCAATTATGTTTGAAAAGTTATTCTTTATAAAAAGTTCTGATTGTTGGGAAAATGGGAAAATTTTAAATCACATGTACTGGGTGTTAAT